AACAGTACACTAATCAGCCGACTTTGGCATGTTGAAATCAAGAACAGCCGAATATGTTAAGAACGTTTCAGTGCTGTGTTTGTATGAACTGCTCGCTCACGATTTGTATTGCTGGTCATGATGAGTTTGAGCATTTTCTAGTTGTCTCGAAAGCATTTGTTCATCTACCATCTGATTTTATGGAGTGCTCTGTAAATCATTACCATTTAGTGGGTTAAACCGATAGGATGGACCCCTTGTGGTCCGTGTGGATCTCATTCACAACGACGCTTGCGGGCTATTTATTTGACTCATTTCAGTTATGAACATTTATGTGCACAAATTCTCGTCATGAAAATAATTTCACCAGTGTTGTATTTCTTACTCATTATTACTTAATTTACTGGCACTGTTGAAGTAACAAGTAATATTACTTTGCAGTAATAGCAGTATTTTTATCATTATCCCTTTCCTCATGATTGTTGTTGTTTTGTGGAAGATGAAGCAGTTTTTAAGGCCAATGACTTCAACGTAACAGAACAAAAATAAGTTTATTTGAAGAATATAATTTGATCGTACGATATATAAACAACAGTATATTTATTTAAATACACAGTGTATGAAAATATAGTTGAACGATAAAAATATCATTCACTGACAACTACTATAGAGTGCTATCATTAGAGCAAACAAAAGTACTGAAAAAGAAGCAGAAGTCATTTCCGGGTTGTTATCAGTCTAAAAATGCTATCGACAACGAGTACATTTACTGAGCGAAACAGTAAGGCATCAGGCATTTAACCAACTATGTACATAACCGTATAGTATCATCATTATATTCATCAATAATGATTCAACCAAATCAAGGACTGTCTCGTACGCGCAGTGAAATCAACTCAAATGTTCAGTTACGATATTGACGAGATTGGATTCGGCGGAGGGCCCATTCGTAACAAGGTTTCATCGAGCCACTGAAATTGAATACTTAGTGTTCTGCTATATTCATCATATTTCTCACCGAAAACATACGTCTTAATTAAGAAAAACACTATACAATATTACCTATTCTGACAACTTTTCTCACACACTTGATTCAATATCAAATTCCTTAGAAAAAGATACTGCTGATAATCAATTTGGGCTCAGACCGATGTGTGTAACAAAAAATCGGTAACGGTGCAAATGCTAAGATTAACGAATGAAAACGCTTTCACTACAGATCTTCGCATCACTAACACAATCACTAACTTACGTTACTAACATTACAACTTACGTAACGTTACATTAGCTTACTTTTCTCCAATTTCAAAAAATATCCGTCCTCTTCAAGCCAACGTACAAAACTAAACCTCCAATTTTTTCAGTTTATTAATAACAAACATTTATCGTGTTTTTGTGTTTTGTTTTTCTCATCGTATCGTATAGTATGATTTTGCGTATAGTTTCGTTGAAGGAACGAAACGAATTAAAGAAGTGAGTAATTGAAGATGAACACAACGAACCGATAACGGAGTATGTAAATGAATTTCAATCCAGCACGGCGTCGATGTGATATCTTGTCGTTGATATTCAGAACCCCAACCTTTTACGAACGACATCCGAATGATCGTCATCTTCGTCAGTTCATAGCTTGCGTCAAACGAACGATACTGAGCCGATTCAGCCAGTAACTGAATGTTTCATTGCTTAGCTCTTCTCTCTTGCATGAGATGCAAACTCATAAATTGAATGCAGAATATGAATCATTTGCTGTTCTCGAAAGTAAACAGCCCGCATAATACGCCATCTTAAAACATCAACGTCCTGCACTTTTTCACTCGTTATTCTACAGTAAAAGTGAACTGACCACTTGTTCGGTTGTGACTACTCGTCATCAACACACACAAACAATTCAAAGATTCACCATTTCATTCCAGCCAGTTCAAATTCATCATCATCCCATTCAAACAATTTTTAAACTAAAGTTTTTCTCTAACGAAAGTTCATTAATCCTCCCAAAAATACGTTTTCGGTGTAATTTATTCATGAAGACAAGAAGCAAATGAATCCATGAACGCAGACTACTCATTCGAATGAACAAAAATAAATTAATTCTCAAACTGCTTCCGCAGATGCATTACTATCATGCGTTTCATAATAAAATTGTTTAAAAAAAGCATTCACTTAAATGAACAAAGTAGTGAAAAACTGAACAAAAATGCAAAGAGAGATATGAAAACAACTGAAGTAAACCTCTCTGAATTTCGACATATCGAAAATTTTCAGCGATATTCCATTCGTTATTTTACAAACGGTTGTCGGATGAAAATTATGAAAATAGTTGCAATTGCGCGATTGTATAAAGATGGCACTTTCACTTTGACATTCTGCGAAGAGCGTCCCCTGATGCGGTACATAGGTCAATTTCACACCTTAATTCATTTTTATTATACCTGCTCGTACGGATACTAAATTTGAATGCAGACCAGACAGATATTTACTTAATTTGTCGTGAACATATGATTTGAGCATGATGTACGATATAAATATACGTTACGTTGTTTTTGAGTAAAGAAAGCAGAATATCAATCAAGTTGATATTCTTTAATAATATTTGCTCTGTTCAACACGAATTATTGTCATCTGATTGCTTACCTCAACTTTTTTCAATTTCCATCCAAGATCTCACCAAATCGGTCAACATATTCAAAGTACTGATACTATCATATTGATTATAAATAGAAAAGTTATTCTCATCAATAAGTTGATTTTGAAGAATATTCATTTCAAAGATAAAACCTTTGCCAATATGTCTACGAGTAGATTCGATTTGCTGATTACGATTAACATTCGACAGCAGACCGAGACATATTTTGTTCGGATTAGACGTCGGATCAGTGAATCCGTCGATCTGCACTGTGGGTGACGATACCTTGAACTGCTCACCGACCCGAGTGTTCAATTCGAAGTAACTTATTGTTGCCCAATATTTACCTTCTTGATATCCCACCTCAAGTAATGTTCACTTGATCTAATATTCATTTCACAACGCAATGTTATTTTCATTCATTCAATTTACTATCAATCTGTTAATACTTTGGCCTGTGCTCGTCTAGTGCAAATTAGTTTCACAATTATTGTTCTGTTAGATGTGAAGTCATTTTATAATTATCATTATTACGATTATTATTAGCGATTTATCAGCCCTCACTTTAGCAGCAGCATTGTCATCACCTGAATATCACCTTTCTCCTTCCATGAATGAAAAACAAGAGTTTCATTGCATCATTCACGTGAAACTGAGATATGAATTATTCCTTGTAAAAAACTTAAAACAAAACGATTGGAAATCCAATTAAAGTGTTATTCAACCTCATAAGTTGGTATATTTTGTGGCAGAGTATTGAGAGGGGCAGCTGCAGCCAAGTCGGTGACATTATTATTTGCACTCATTTGTTCATCATTCTCTTGCTTTTGAACGTTATGATTGATGATAAAATTATTAATATTACTGCAATCAATATTCAGTGGCATGGTTGACTGGGACGATTGTGAGTTGGTATCGTAGAGAAGTGATGACATACGAAGCATTCGTGGTATGACATTGGGTGACGGTTCGGTGTAGCGTGGCACAAGCACTGGCGGTAGTATTCCGGCACTTTCGACTCGTTCGTAATGATACGGATTTATGCAGATATCCTTCATATTCTCTTATTACTCACTCCAATACGTTCTTTCAGGTTGTCAATAATTCATTCAAAATGATACACATTCACTCCTTTTGATTCTCTTTTGGTTCTCACCCGTAAAATGGATTTTATTTTTGCTTTTTGTCCGTCATATTTCAAAACTGATTATTTTCAGTTCTCAGTGAACCATATTTCACTGTAGTTTTGTAATGATACATATTTGAATCGCTTATTGAAGTCATCATTACAGTTTCTATCATTCTACCAAATACAAATGCAGTGTACCAAGTGTGCACAGAGAAAGTCCATCATTCCTACTCTGAAACATCTAACGAAAGAGGAAAAGAGAAATTGAAATACAAAAATAATTTCATTATCAATCGAAGTTTTGTAATCTGAGACTTCGAGAAGCTGAAAGATTCTAGCGATGAATAAGGCGATAAATAAATGATCAGATGTGGAATGAAACAACAACCTTCTGTCCAGATTCATAGCAATACCGACAATCGTCAATGGCTTTAAGCTCATGATGAGACTGAAGGTCAGGCCAGCGATACACGCGACAATATATCACATGTGGTAGAGCTTTGCGATGAGAGATCTTAATTCATCATTTTGCAATTTTGACATTCACTGTTACTGCAGAAATATTTATTTGTTCAAACTCGGCAACAATTTTGTAAATCATTAGTTATGTAATGATTAAACACATTCGAACCAGTGAAGTGGAGAGTCATAGCTCACAAGACAGTCATAGCTAATGTAAGATAATTTAAATAGCTTGAATCTCGGAAATAATTTGAGTGCGATATTCTGAAGCGATATAAGAACATGGAATGGAGAATCGCGTGGAGTAAACTGTTTGAATAAATGAAGCAAGAATAAAATGTAATAGGAGCAAAATATGAGTCGTTTGTTTCGAGTCAATATATACCCGAAATCCAAATTTGAGCAACGTTTGGTAAATTCGAATCTCCCCGCAAGTGCCAGGAAAAGGTGATTCTGCGGG